GAAGGGTAAAAGTGAGAAAACTCGTGGGTTGAGATAAAGACAGTTTAATAGGTAAAGCAAAAGCCGCACACACAAGCAAAGCAAAACAAGGAATTCATTCACTCCTTCCCATGGGCAGGCAGGTGTTCAGCCATCTCCAGGAAAGCAGGGCTCCATCACATAAAAGAGAAAACTCCTTTATTCCAAGCTTAAACAGGGGTGCAGGGACCTAGATTAGGATCTTTAATTTGTAAGAAGTGGCCTGAGGATATGAAAATCTAGTCTTTTTTGATAAATCCAATCATGTTCATAATATGTTATGAAGCGATTATTCACAGTCAATTGTTATACTTCTAAGCCTACTAAAAAATTAATAGAGACTATTATGATTAGATGTTCTTACACAATCCCTTCCCACACGCTGGATAAAGATCACATATAAAATGTACCAGTGTATTTCCAAGGCATAAATTAAGAAAAGACACGCTGCTAACAAACATGATTACAAACCCCCTTTGGTCTAATAATTGCCAGGTCAAATCAACTCTACCAATGACTTACAACCAATTTCCTAATCCTCCAGAAATTCAGGTAAGTTTTCTTATAAAGCTCTACTGGTTTATTCTCATTTTTCACCTATTTTAAGTAAATAGATATTTCTTCATTTAACATCCCAAGTCTTTTTTGGTCACTTTCTTAATGTGTGTAAGTAAACTAAAGTAAAAGCTCTGAAGTCCTTATCCTTCATTACAGCCCTTAGCTCCCCTTACCCAATATATCTGCGAACTGCTAACCCTCTTCAAGCACTCGGCCATCCTTGGCTCTCTGCTGCTGAATTCGGGTAGCTGTGTACTTCATAAGATGTTGTCACTCTTACCAAGAAGTGACTCCAAGATGGCTTACTATTATTTCCATTTTATAACGTGGTTTTCTAAAATAACAAGGCCTATGTTACTACATTTTTGCCTGTCCGTTACTCCAGCAGCTTTGAACCTGTGGACCAATTTCAGCAACATTTGTCAGAAGAGCAGAAGTCTCGGTTTCTTAAGGTCTGTGAAAACGAGCGTCTGCTGCTTGTCTGCTAAGTTGCCCCACTGAAGGGAAGGGCCGATGCGTGATCTCAAGTACGTAATTAAATACAAGAAAAATTCATGCAGGAATGATGTTATGAGGGGAAAAAAGCCCTAGGAGAAAATGGGCTCCATGTATTTTGCCAGCAGCAGAACTATGTGAAATACAAAGCTGTCCTACGTGCAAGCTGTTACACAAGAGAAGTATATAGTTCATGAAAAACATCCATGAACAGCATTTCTGAGATTAGTATTCAAATAACAATCTTCCAGTGCGCCTCAGAAAAAAAGTTTGCCTTTTTTGAGGTACCACCATTTTAGACAGAGGACTCTCAGTCCTATTACAAATGGTAGTGGTTTTCCCTAGCATGACTAATTACGTTCGCAGGTTTGGTTGCCTTCATTTTTCAGCTCAACTTATTTAACCGTTTAATGCTTAGAATGTATTTTATAAGCAGCACAGCAATCATGCTAGAGGGCAAAAGCAAGGCTTTACTTTGACATTTCTCTCTGTATAGTCTTGCAATGATTTTTGTAACAAAGGCGCTCCGTTAAATTTTCTTAAATGCCAGCACCTTGAACTCAGCCTGTAACATGTCGGTCAGATAGGATGATCATTCTTTTAACTGTCATTAATAATCTGTAAAGCAGTCAGTCATAGAAGAAACAAATATGTTGACTAACATTTGTCTCATTGTACTCTCGCCCTGTTTTCCCAGGAGGAAGTATTGCGTATACCGAGACCATTGGAGTGAAACAAGCTTTGTATGGAAAGGTGACATCTATCATTAGATTCATAATATGAACCCAAAGTCTCGGCCTTTATTCTGCAAATACAGAGCTTCTTTAATAGATCTTTTTTCCCTCTCCCTAGAAACCCTCGCTTTTCTATAAATACGTCACAACAGAGGTGGAATTTTGCATGGATAAGATCAATAATGAATGAGTTTAGTGAGATTAAGATTAAGTATGTACTAAACACATACTGATACTTCTCTCATTTCTTCCAAATAAGGGCAGCAAGCAAGATTAAATGTCTGGAGTTCTCAGTCCCTTACAGAAGAGGAGAATTCTTTTTAATAACTCCTGCAGGTTAATTACTGTATTATCAAAATGAAGTTAAAATTAGCAATGTTCACACATCAAGGAGATGGTGAATTAAACATAGGCACAATGCTAAGACAGGCTATATCCTCCTCCTGAACAGCAGGAGGTGATAAAAAAAAAAAAAAAAGAAAAAAGATTGGCAGCACTTCAAGAATGACAAAAGCATAGCCAATAGTTCAAAAAGCTGGAGCTAAAAGACAGACAGCAGTTTTACACAATATTAACCCCAAAATGAAAACATGACTAAATGAGATTTTTAGATTATATGCTATTAATAGAAGTAGATTAGGAAAAACCTAGAATACCTCTCTCAAAAACCAGTGAATTTCAGAACTATTACAACTAACCTTATCTTCTTAAGAGACCTCAAGTTTCATAGATACCAAAGGAGAAAACCAAGAATATAATTGCTTAAGTCAGTTTTATGGCAATGAAGGATGAAAAAAGGAAGGCTTTATCTGAACAAAGAATTCGAAAACAATAATAAAATATCCTCTTAATAAAGAAAAAGTCCTGTGCTCTATTTACTACCCATCACAACTCTCAAAGAAGAGCCTATGAATGCTTGGATTAACCCGCCGATCAATTTTCACACAGATGTCAGACATTTCTAACTAATTAAAAATAATAATAATACTACTAATAAAAAAATAATCAAAAGAGGTCGAAGTTCCACCTTCTGTGCTGTGGTGTTCCCTATTTCACATTAGAAAAATATAGTGCATTCTCAGGTATAATTGTTGTAGAAGCAACTGACAAAGATACTGTTTCTAAGACTTTACTATATGTTATTTGAGGCTTTACAAGGATGAAAGTGAAAACTCTTTTATTAGAATAAGGTACCCCCAGTCCAAATTTAAATATACCTCTTTTTGTAGGAGTTCCTCTCGCATCTGTGAAACTAAAAGGGCTTCCTGATGTCTCTGTTGTTCACCAATTTGTTCTTGGAGATGTTTTATTAATATCTACAAAAAAATTAAAAACAGTCTGTCATTAACATAAATACCCATGACAACATGTGAAAACCTAGACAGGAAAAATACACCAAAAATATAAGCAGTATTGTAGTACTGCAGGTGTAAGTGATGCATATATTAACAATACTACCTCCAACATGTGTGCTATTTAACAATCCTCTACCTGGATTGTTAAATAACACACACGTAGATACACAGTATATGAAAACAAGTCTCAATCTTCAATTCACTTTCCTCAGTTAAACAAAAAATTCTGAAAAATCTGAATGAAATAGCTCTTTCTACTTTCATACCGTGTGTAAAACTTCTCCCAAAAGTTTAATGCACAAATATAAGCACAGGCCCAGGTCCTCATGGGGGACTTCAACCACCCTGATACCTGCTGGAGGAACAACACAGCATGGCATAAGCAACCCAGGAGGTTCCCGGAGGGCGTTGGTGACAACTTCCTGACCCAAGTGATAGAGGAGCCAGTGAAGAGAGACACTCTGCTGGGCCTTAAACTCACAAACAAGGAAGGGCTTGTTAAGGGATGTGAACATCAAAGGCAACCATGGCTGCAGTGACCATGAGATGGTGGGGTTCAGGATCATGAGAGGAGGGAGCAGGCCATAAAGTATGATCACAACCCTGCTTACCTGGACTTCAGTAATAAGGCTTACAACACTGTCTCCTTTAAGATCCTCACAGAGAAGCTGAAGAAGCGTGGGTTGGATAAGCAGACAGTGAGGTGGACTGCAAACTGACTTAAATGGCTGAGCCAGAGGGTGGCAAAGAGTGTAACAACATCTAGTTGGAGACCAGTAACTCGGGGGTGGGCGTAGGATTGTCAGTTCTGGGTCCAATCCTGTTCAACATCTTCATTAATGATCTGGATGATGGGGTGGAGCATACCCTCAGCAAGTTTGCTGATTATATAAAACTGGGAGGAGTGGCTGATACACCAGAGGGGTCGTGCTGCCATCCAGAGGGTCCTCAACAGGCTGGAGAAATGGGCTGACAGGGACCTCATGAACTTCAACACAGGGAAGTAAAAAGTCCTGCTGCTGGGGAGGAACAACCCCATGCACCAGTACTTGCTGGGGGCCACTCAGCTGGAAAGTGGCTTTGCAGAAAAGGATCTGGGTGTCCTGGTGGACACCAAGTTGAACAAAAGGCTAACAGTATCCTGGGCTGCACTGGTATGAATATTGCCAGCTGGTCGAGGAAGGTGGTCCTTCCCCTTTACTCAGCTCTGGTGAAGCCACACCTGGAATACTGTGTCCAGTTCTGGGTTCCCCAATGCAAGAGACATGGAGCTGCTGGAGAGAGTCTGCAAAGGGCCACGAGGATGATGAAAGGGACTGGAGCATCTCTCATATGAGGAAAGGCTGAGAGAGCTGGGACTGTTTAGCCCGGAGAAGAGAAGGCTCAGGGGGATCTCATCAACGTGTACAAATATCTGAAGAGAGGGTGCAAAGACAACAGAGCCAGGCTTTTTCCAGTGGTATCCAGTGACAGGAGAAGCAGCAATGAGCACAAACTGAAATATGGAAGATTCTGTCCGAACATAAGGAAAACTTCTTTACTGTGAGGGTGACCGAGCACTTGTTTGGGTTTGCCCAGAGAGGCTGTGGAATCTCCCTCCTTGGAGATATTCAAAAGCCATCTCGACACGGTCCTGAGCAACTGGCTCTAAGTGACCCTGCTTGAGAAGGGGGGTTGGACAAGGTGGCCTCCAGAGGTCCCTTCTAACCTCAGCCATTCTGTGATTCTGTGAATACAGTGGCACAGCCCATTTTTGAAACAACAGATCCTACTTCAAAGAAAGATAAAGTTCATAGTAATCTAGAAACAAATAACTTCAACAGATATCTATGTGTAATGAATATATCTACTGTACCTTACCTCTTGTGTTGAAATTCTGCTGCTTAGTTCAGCTACTTTAGAAGTAGAATGCTCCCTTGCGTGCTGGCAAAGAATCTTCTCCACTTCCCTCTGATGGGAAGCTTTCAGAGATGCAACGTATTCTGCTGTGTCTTCCTGTATCCTGAACAGAGTGAGAGGAAAATAAGATGTAGTAAAGCAGCTACAGACAGTTCTTCAAAAATTGCAGCAAAGTTTCTCACCTGAGCATATAAAATATCAAAAACATTAAAGGCGGCATGTCTTTGAAATTTCATAACAAAACCTCGCAAGATAGCACCACCGTTACTTCTGCTGCTCTGGAGGGATGACAGGGTGGGAAGCCTACAATGTTGGATATGTGCCTAGAGGCAGCCAGAATACAGAAAACTCAGCCAATCACCTTTTTTGGCTCCTCTTATAAAAAAATAGGAGAGAAAATAGGTGCTTTTAAAATCATATTTCAGCTGTCCTATTTCAGGTATCTATTTTAGAACAGAATGTGTTGCAATCTAAATATGCCAATTTCCTCTACTTTGACTATGAAGGGATCTAAGGAAAACTAGGTGAAGTGTAAAGTTTCTACAGTTGGTCAAGTAAATCCCACTGAAAGCATACCCCAGTTTGAAGAAAAGTATGTGTACCAAATTTTAATGCTATACAACACAAATACAAAGCATCTAAAACGCAATGATTTATAGTGAGATCTTTTTGCTCAAAACCATGACAAATTGTAGCATTAATAAGAAGGATTAATACACGTTTGCCTGTAGAAAGAATCATGACAGTGCACTGCTCTAAAAAAAAAACAAAAACCCCAACCAAAAAAAAAGTCAAAAAACCCCCCAAAACCAAAAACAAACAGTAAAAATGAAATTTACAGAGAACATTGGCCAAGTATAAGCTAGCTTCACACATGGCTGATATGTTAATGCGTCACTTCAATCCTGTGTCAGCCAACACTTTCAACAAGGTTTTTGAAGGAACACATTGAGCATTTACCTTCGTATGTTATTTTCAGAATAAGCCAGTGTTGCTTGAGACTTCACCCTCTGCTGGTTCATTTCTAGAGACAATCTTTCTAGCTCCTCTTTCAGCTGTGCATTTTCTTGCAGAACTTCCGAGAGATTAGAATCAGAAAAGGTATGTGGTTGGTATATTTTGTCATCGTTGAAAATGCTTAAAAAGGTTTTACTGTTGCTGGAATTCCTTTTATCTGTTGCTGAGGTATTCTTTTTCAAGATCTCTGTAGTGTTTTCCTTAGTGGTTTTAGTTCTCAAATTATTATCAGACAACATCACCACCCTTTCTTTTTGAAGTTTCTCTACAGTTTTTGTAAGGTCTTGTATTTCTCTATTTTTGGTGACCAGTTCTTCATTTAGTTTTAACAGTCTGTCTTTTGTGTTACCTTGTCTCAGCTGAGAGTCTGTGGACTCTAAGTCTTTATTATCCTTTTTACTTCTGAGTTTTAACTGGGAATTTTGACTTTTAAGGTTTTCAATTTCTGTCTGGAGGTTTTTAACGGTGATCTGATGGGTCTTTTTTAGATTCTGAAGCTCCTGTTCAAGTTCTGTAGAACTGACTTTATCACCATTCAGTTTTGGTGATTCACTCATAAATTTGTAGGCAAGTAGTTGCTCAAGCTCTACAAGTCTTTGCTCATACTGTATCTAAGGGAGGAAGGGAAGAAAAAGCAGGTTCCTCAAGTGTACATTTAATATTAGCTCTTCCTGTAATTCTTTGAAGTTACTGCACATCTGAAGCAAGATTTTACAAGACAGGATATTCATCGGTATTACTAACCACACTACGCAATCAGTTCAGAAATTAGTGAGTGAAAAAAATTACATGAAGCAAACTTAAGACTGCTGTAAAACGGAATTACACAAAACATTTACTACAAAGTAATCCTCTATTCACAATGAATGCAGTAACTATGGGAAAAAAAATTAAATTGACAAGAATTTTTATATAATTTGAGTTCTCTTCAGATGTTACCAACTCAGACAGGCAAAGTAACATCTTATTTTAATATAGCAAGAAGTCTTCAATTTTTTTACAATCTGTCATTATGTATTTGCCATGTGTCAGTTTGCAAACATTACTGTCACATGCCTCAAAATTGTACTTCCCATTTTTAAAAACATCTTTAATTTTAACAGGACAGATTCTTATTTTTATTTATTTATAAGCATGAATTCAGAGAGACACAGAAGCTTTCTTCTTAATGAGCTGAGGAAAACCTAACCCTTAATAGCCTGGATAGCCTCTGAGGAAAGCATGATGAGTTATTCACATAGAGAAAAGGAGGAACAACTGGCCAATGCTTTCTTTCCCGCTTGTTAAGCACCTGTGCAGTTCACCTTTTCCTTGAAGTAAAATGCCAGACTTCCACGCTTCCTAACACAAGTCTTAAGACCCGCTATCACGTAATTTTTGGATAAAACGTTTAGTGTTCCCAAACGTTCCCTGCAGAAATGCTCAGTCAGCAGACCTTTGAAACCGCAGCCTTTGGTGCAGCAAGGAATTAGGTAAGCAGCTACTCTGACCCACAGGATGAAACTCACTTATCTTAATTGTAAGAATTAAATTATTAGGCCTCAAGAACTTGTCCTCTCAGTTTCAGTAGTACTCTAACAATTTCAATGCTCTTTTTATCTTAGGTGCTGAAGCTACTGCAATTCAGGTTATAAATTCTTTGAATATTTTTTTCCCTTGAATGTGGTCTTTGCCTTCAGTTTTCACCACTGCTCTGTGTTGGACCCCAGTAACTTTGTGATTGTTACTTGCGGAATAGACTACTCAACAAGCCTCCAACTTTTACCTTTATTTTTTGAAATTGTTGTTCCATGGCACGGAGACTTTTTTTAGCTTCATCATCTTTACCTTCAAGTTCTGTTTCTAACTTTTTTATTCTTCTCTCCAAAAAATCAACTGTGTTTGTTTTAGCTGAAAGATCATCAGTTTTCTCAGCAGCAGCAGCAGCATAAATCAAAGCAGGCAAAGAATTTGGATACCTTCTTTTTAGAATTCCTTCCATTTCTCTGATCTATCAAAAAGAAAATTAAGTCAGAAGTCAAAAAGAATAAAGTTCTAATGAAAAGTGAACTGAAATAAGTGACAATGTTAACAAATGTCATCCACTTAAGCTGGGTGAAGAATGAAAACTAGAGATGCACATGTTGAGAATTTTTTTTACATTGTTTTTATTTATGTTACTGTTTACAGAAAAGCAAGACTCATCATCTCTTACTGATTGACTTATACATCATCTTAAACAAAATATTGCTCTGGTCTTCAGATTATCTTATGTCAAATGGACCTTTTATTTACTTTCTTAGCACTTAAGGTGTATATGGCTCTTAATGCTGTTAAAGTATTTGCTTTTTTTCTGGACTTACATTCACGTTCTACTTTTCCAACTGTTACAGAGATATTCCATAACAGTATTGAAATTATTCTCCCAATAACAGATTATATGCCTTTTATTTTGGAGTCTGCAATACAATAAAACTAACGCCTTGCATGCAAGACTAATAACAAGTCCCTCTTTTATCTATGGGTGAGATATTCTTCGCATTAGAATACTGCAGAGGCTCTTTCCCATTTGTCCCACACCCCTACCAAATGCAGCTTCCATCTCCTAAAATTGAGAAAGGCCAACTTCCACCTGACTTTTCCTCAGTAGAAATATGGATTTTAAGGTCTCTACTCCCCCAGTTTTCATGAATCTTGTAGGAATCCAATAAAATTTAAACCCCTACTCTTGAATCAACTTGGTTGAAATTGGTCATAATGCTAAGGGATTACTGAACATAGACAGAAGCAGTCTTAGAAGATAAACAGCAAGCTTGTCTGTGCTTTTGCCCTCTTGCCCTTTTCTAAGAAACTCTAAACAGTATTTTAATGTTAAAGGATTTTAAAAGGGATACCAGTAAATAGCTTATTAGAACACAGTAGCAGAAGAGCCCTTTGTAAGTAAATAATTGCAGCTTTTTGTGTTAAGAGAGTTCCATAGCACAAGTTACTTTATCACAGGGCTTCATTCAATGCTTTATCCTTATGAAAGGGCTGGTAAGTGTTTGTAAGAGACCTTATCTGAAATAAAGGTTAAACGAAACACAGTTTTATTATTGCATACTTGTCGCTCAAGATCCTGAATTCTTTTAGCATCTGCTGCTCTGTCTCGCAAACGCTTCTTCTGTTGCACACACTGATCTCCAGCTTCAGCTCTGAGCTTCTCAACCTGTCCAATTTATGAGAAAATAAATCGAAATATATATTCAGAGACATTGTCCTGTGGTACAAAAGTAAGCATTTCAAACACACACAATATAATGGAAGTATTCTGCAACTTAAAAACTGGTAAGAGTAATTTCTGTACTAACTGATTCTTCATGTTCTTAAACTAAGTTACGGCTTCTTCAAGCCACTTAAGATCAAAGGAGCTGCAACTAGCTACGGAAATCTAGAAGAGAACTTCAGCTCTGGGACATTCTTGTCTTCAGATCAGTAAATCTGCTTCTTTCTCCCATACTTCCAGTATGCAGGCTTGGTTAATACGCTATAATATAAAGTACTACAGTGCATTACATGAATTCATGTAAAAGCTCTTCATTGTTTTTAAACACCAGTCCATCCTGGAGAAAATGCAAATAGAAATATTTTCTTTCACAGCAATGATATCTTGATCAAAGCTTGATATGGTGGTGTTTAAGGGATCTCCTTCCCTGACTGCTCCTTCAGAAGCACCTCCTTTCATCTGTGTTCTCTCTAATAAAACACCATGAAAAAATTCCAGATCAAATATATTTTATCACTGGTAAAATTCTTTATTTCTGTGAATCTTAAGTCAAATCTACTGACAAGCAGGCAATGCAAATCTCAGAACTATTCAAGATTCATGCATTAGTTTCGCTTGCTTTATATTTCAAGTGTTTCGGCTTTTTCCTCCCTACTACAGCAACCAGAAGCATCATCAAGGTGTCTAATAGAAGCAAAACCATGTTTTAAGCACTCTGCACTTGCAACTCTCACTGCTTATGCAGTAATATCAATTTTGCATATAAAGACTTCACATTTGATTTAAAGGTTATAAAGGGTTTACATGTTTTTTCTTGGAAAAAATGGGATTATTATGAAGGACAGGATTACATCATACTCTTCACTAGAAAAGAAATAGTTTTAAGTTCTAACTTCTTAGATAAAGCTAGATATTATCACCTCTAGTTTTAGTTTCTCAGTTTCTTCTCTTGCATCTTTAAGGCGGGCTGCATCTTTATCCAGAAGATCTTGATTTTCTGCATACCACTGAAGTCGTCTTTTTAAATGAGTAATTTCCTGTTTGTATGATTCTTCCATAACTTTAAATTCATAAGACTTCTCACCTACAGGAATAAAACATCCTTAGTATTGTTTTATTAGTAATTATGTATTGAAGAATTAATTAGTCAACACTATCCTTCTCAGCACATTTCATACATTTACTCTTTTGACAATCCTGTTATTGCAGTAAAGTTTTAAAACCAGACCCTAATTAGGATTTTAAATGCAACAGTATTTGAAAAAAAACTTTTTTCTCTCATAAATAGTAGTACTTAATAGTTCACAGTTTACCATGGAAAGTATTTAAAACAGAATCCCAGGGGGATCTATTCTTGATCACGTTCTAGTAAACAAATATTCAGTAACAACATGGATGACAATATAGAATATATGCTTAGATATGTATCAAGCATTTTGAGGAGACATGGAGGTAAATATTACAGCTCTTAGCACTTGTGGTGCCTGATATTGGAACTGAGAGAGTCCAGTTTCTGGCCCTCTCTCATTAAGAAAGCTAAAGTCAAACTGGAAAGAGTTCTGATAAGAACGTAATTAAAAAAGTCACAAGGCGTAAGTTATTGGTAAAAAACGGGCAAGATCTAAATAGGAGACTAAGATGCAACATAGTAAATCTTTTCTTATGAACAGAGTTGTCATATACATGGAATCGTCTGTTTTCCATGCCCAGTGGAAGATGGGCAAGAAATCAAACTTAATAGGCAACAACAAAGAGTTTGGCTGGATACAAGAAAAGGCTTTCTAATAGAGTGCCAAAGGTACTGTAGCATGTCCTTCACTTTTATTAGAAGCTTAGAAAATACTTGGAAATGGTCTAGATGCATTTGACTAAGTAATATTTTAATAAGAAACAAGTTTTAATTACATATTTATTTAGTGAAGCACAGACTAGGCAAAATTATTCAACAAAATGAAGGTGCTTTACTTGATGTGGATGCAATCTGGACTTTTGCTAAATCTCTCTCCTTCTTTGCTTGTCCCAAGTCTACCTCGAGAGCTTGCTTATCTTGTTTGAGACGTCTTATCTCTTCTTGTAATTTAGTTTCTTCCTTCTGAGTTTTAGAGAAAACAGTAAGACAAGAAAAACTAAACACACATTGTCATACAAAAAACCTGAACATGCTTTTTCACCATAAATTTATTAAATCACAACAGTTGCATCAGACGACAGCAGCAATGAGGTTTTCTAGTTTTGGTATTATTGTCAGGCCTTGCTGTAGCAGAGCATGTGAAAACAAGCTAAACATAAAAAACCCCATATATTTTTTTTTAATAAGTCTTACATAACTGTCTTAGAAAACATCTGCCTTTTGAGATGGTCAGTAAAGAAAATGGCTTTACTTATTTCCAAGACTTAAGAGTGTAGCTTAAATGGACAGATGTATTGTCCAACAGTTCATCTTACTACATTCTATTTCTCACCATTTTCTGCATGCACTCTGTTCTGTTTGTTTATGTGTGATCACTAGCAAACTTCAAGACTAAGTAGGATGAAAGATCTCACTGCCAGCCTCTGGAGATGGAGGCCCTTGGTCCTAGGGATCCATAGGTACAGGGAGCAGCAGCTGGGGATGGGGGGGGGAGGGGGGGGCTGAGATTTTGGGACCAGCCAGTAAATAGACCAAGTGTCCAGGGCCAGCAATGGCCAGCATGTGCATGTATGTGTGTTACTGCTAGTGAACTCCTATCCTGATCTGCTGAACAGGATCAGTCCGTATGTGCTCCTTGTGTTTCCAAGAGTACTCTTTGTATTTCTGTGGTGTGAACAAAGGCACTGCTCTCTGTATTATCTGTGTACCTGACCGTGGTAGTGTTGTCTGTGTCTCTCTCTCCATCTTTGGATCTTGTGTTCAGTCTCATTACAGGCTGGACCTAAGGACAGGGAAGTGTAGCTGCAGCACCTATGAGGCTGGAACTGGGGGAGCCCCTAGAGTTTTAAGAGCTCAAAGTCAGCTCTATCAGACCAGGAACGCCTCCGCTGGTCCTGAAGCTCACTGGATCCAGATCCTCTTATCGCCTACCTAACCAGTTTTTTTTGTTTGTTTTGGTTTTTTGTTTTTTTTTTTTTTTTTTTTTTTTTTAAAACAAAAACAAAAATGGAAGAAGCAGCTTTTAATTTCTGGTCTAACTGTACCAGAACAGTCCTCACTTGCAGTAAGCAGAAAAACAGAATTTCCTGAAAACCTTTAATTTTAACATGAAACTTAGTAAACATCCTCCCTCAAAAACACAGGCATCTATAGGACTACAAAAAAGTTACAAGAGTGAATAATAAATGATTCTTTTCACTCTGATGTTCTTTTCTAGAACTTACTCGGGACAGAGTAGGGACAAACACTCTTCTGGATTTGTCTTATGCGGGAAAGGTATAGAGGTATCACTACTTTCTGCAAGCTCTCACAAGATATTTCAGAATTGCCAGTAAACATGGCAACACTGCACTTCTTCCAGTGAATCTATGTCTTAGGGGATTACTTCTGAAAGTTTGTTTGATGAGGCATTTGTGATATGCAAGTTCGGCAAATAATTAATGCTGTAGAAAAGCAGCATGCTCCACTTCTTATTTTACTTCATTAGTCTACAATATGGATGGTTATGCACTTTTTGTAAGACCACGTGAAAAACAGGCTTGGTATATACCCACCTGTGCTGCTCGAAGCTCTGAAATCAATTCTGTGAAACTCTGATTTCTGGCTGGTTCAGAATCCTGCATGATTCGTGACTGGATATTAGTCATCTCTATCTTTTCTCTAAATGGCAGCAGCAAGAACAGTTATGCAATGTGGTGACTTGGCATACTAACAGTGGCACACTAAAAAACAAACACAAACTGCCTCCCCCCCTCCAAATGGCACCACAGAGTCAATCCGTGCAGGCTCAAAACAAAGAAAGAAGCAACTATGCAGTACATCTTTATACAAAAAATTTCACCTGTAAGGTGAAATCTTCTCACTTCACACAAACTTGTTTGTTGGGACTACACAAGGGAGGGAAACAAAACTTACTCTGCATCAGTGGAACTCATCTACGGGCCTCTCCCAAGCAAAGATTTGTAAATTAGGAGTACATGCAATTGCTAGGTTTTTCCCTCATTACTAGCACAGGATGCAAATCTTTCAGGACCTACAGTGCAGTGAATCTAATGGTTCCTCCACTACCAGGATCTCTTGTGGCCCCTGATCTACTGTGTATCTTACAACAGTATCAAAACATTTTGACACATGAGCAGAGCCGTAATACCAGAACAAGTGTAGCACACATATTACACATTCTGATATGAGTAAGAGTATTTGAATTTTAGCATTGAAATATTCCCCAAATGGAAGACTCTAGTCTTCCCATAGGTCTGCAACATCAGCAAGAAGAATTAAGTGCCCATAATCAACATAAATCAATTCTCAGAAGAAAAAACAAAACCACAAACCCAAGAAACACTGGAAAACATGCACCTGACAGACTCTGCAGTTATTCTTCATAAATAAAATAATAAACACAGCTGAAAACTCCAGAGATTTTAGGTCAGATGTTTAAATGAGCCTACCTTAGGGCTATTAATTCAGACATTAAACACTGATTCTCCTTAAACATTTGTTCCTCATTTTTTTTGTTTGCGGTTTGTAGCTCTTTCATTTGTTTGTATAACCTCTCATTTTCCTAAGATGAGACAGACAAAGTTAAAGAATATTCATAAATTACTGTTTTATCCAGTTCAAAAAACAATTGTCTATGACTTGCGTAGTTTGCCTATTGAAACAGTGGAAGCAAACACTAAATGTTTTATTACTAAGTTTCTACAATGGATATCTACTTTCATTGTCTTTATGCTAAAGTAGTATACAGCGACCTCTACAATCTTGTCCAAGTGTCTGTTCACTCTGGAGAACCTAGGCCAGTTCCTCTGCAAAGCTATCCCAACTATATTCTAAAAGCACATACGTGGATGCGTGCTGACAGATCAGAGCTCAGCCTGCCCATGCTCCAATCCTGTGGACACAAACCATCACTGATTCGGGATGCTCGCAGCCATACTGGCAAGACATCGTGCCCATACCAAGAAATGCTGCTGAGCACCAGCTGGAAGCTGGTTAAACTAACCTATTTGATTTTACAGCTGCAAGTATTCAAAAGGATTATTAAGCTTGCATTATCTATTTCTACACTTGACTAAGTAATAAAAATCAGGCACACTAATAAGGTTTCCTTGAAATCAGCTGCTCAGATCCTGTGAAAAACATCTTAAAAACAGAACCCTCCAGATTTCTCATATTGCTTAAAAATACTAGTTTTCTACCACATTTTGGGCAAAAAGTCTGTGGTTCTTTATTGGCCATAAAGTATTTTCCCAGTTCTCAACTGACAAGTCAGCATATTTTTACAATTTAAAACAGTTACATGGAATCGTGGAAAAGCTTAGCCCGAACTAGGCATGTGTGAAATACTTTTTAAACGTGCAATACATGTTTGCCCTTCACACCTAAATTTCACCCACTTTTTAGATAGCAAGGTAACTGTTTTCTACAGAAAAGTAGTAACCATCAAACAATTTTGTTTCTGTAACTGGCTCAATATGCTGTGTGGTATACCTGTTGATAACCTTGAATAATGACCTCTTGATCTTCAATTTCTTTTTGTATTTGTGCCAGTTTTTCTTCAGTGACAGGAATCGTTGCTGTATGATGGGTCCATCTCTTTTCTTGAGTCAGCTCTTCCATACTTCTTAACTTTCAGAAAGAAAAAGACATGCAATTAATAAGAAAGTTTTGTTAGCAATACGGAATTCTCTACAAGACTACACTTTTATAATATAAATAGGCCAATCTTTTCATAAAGATATGAAAGCAGACCAATGAGCCAATCTTATTATTATTGGAGTTTTACAGAAGCATTACAAAACAGGAACAAAGTATAAAAGGTTTGGGAAAAGTTAACAAAGTTTTACCCTCCCTCTTCTGTTCTTATGTATCTAGACAGGAGGGTATAGTGGAATAACCCTGGGAATATGCCATATAGACAAAACACATCATTGAAAAATGCATCACCCCCCCCCAACATCTCAACATATAGTACTTATCTATAACAAGTGGTATCTGTTAATCTCTTATTCATTTATTTTTTTTACATAAAAGTGAGTTAAATCTTTGCAAAAAACCTGCAGCAGAACTCTCAAAATAGCAAACTAAAGGAACTCGGGATAACATAGTTTATCTCTGTAGAAAAAAAAAAAAAATCCTGTCTTATGGGCAATAAATGTAACAAGTATGCATTTACAAACTAGCAGTGTGTGTGTAAATCTGGATTTTCTGCTCGTTAACAACTCATCTAAAATAACATTAATTTAATTTTCAGAAGCAATGTTTCTCCTGTTCTATAGTAATGGGATACAAGATGATAAAGTACCTTACTCTGAAGAACATAGTTTTCCTGACCCAACCGAGAAAGCTCTTTGTCATGCTGTGTTTTCAATTCTACTATCTTTGTCTCTATTTCTTTCTCTTTTTGTGAAACTGTGCTGGTTAGCTGTTGAATCAAATCACGAGCTGCGTTCAGGTCCTCCTCTGCAACTTGTACTCGTTTTAGCAAATATAGTTCTCTATCACAACTTTTGACAGGAGAAAATGATAAATCCTAGTGAAGAGAAAAATTCAGGGAAACATTACACTGAGCTGATTGTTTATGAAAAAATTCCGCTCATCAATTTTATTTAACTGGCTTGTCTGGCTCTCAGCAACCACATAAGGCACTTGAAAAGAAAAAAAACCCCCACAACATTCTAATAGTAAAACATCCTGCATTTACTGTAATGAGTTACTTTCTCATTTCTGAAGTATGTATGAGGAAAACAAGCCAAAAAAAAGCCAACAAGAAACAAACACCTCTCATATGAGAGCCACTACATGGCTACCAGAATTATTCTATTATGCATCTTACTTTTTGAAAAGCAGTGATGATTTAGGTATTTAGTAAATAATTTTTTTTATACAGTTTATAAGGAAGAAGGAAAATCCATCATGGTGCTGCAAATTCAGTCATCTTGGAGAAGTCAGAAGATACTATTAAATATTCAATGCAATGCAAATAGAAAAAACCCCAAACAGTATTACTATTTAACATTCATAACGGAATACTTTTAAGTAAAAGTTTTATTTAAAATTTTCCCCTTTTCTACCACAAAATAGTAATTTTTAGAAATTAGCATTCTAACTTTAAGTGTATAGAACCATCCAAGCAGCAGAATTATCCAAGCAACTGAAAAGCAGTATGATTATACTTGCATATTTTAAAAGCAAACACTAGTATTTGACTAAAGGAAAGTATTCAATATTTCAGCATTTGCCAATCTTGTGATAATTATTGAAAGTCTTGACAAAATAGGCTTGCAAACCAAGTTGTACATACTATAATTAGGAGCATCACTGATTATTACTTACATGCTGATACTGCCTGCAATAATCCACAGCCTGGTGTCCAAGATTGTTAACAACTGATTGGCCAGACATAACTCTGTTAATACTTCCCTTCGTAGTTGGTTCATTTGTTGCAGATTTTATTATCCTAGTAGCAAATAAGGCTTCTTCATTTAGGCAGAAAGTAAAATAGAACAAAATTAAAATCGAAACTTAATGTCCTTTCAAAAACATCTATTCATGTGATCCACCCCTTAGGCATATAAATTAAGCATTCTACAACCTGAATTTTGAATTAAATATAGAAACTTGAGAGCAATGAGACATCATGGAAAATGTAGGTTTTTTAAGTAAGGAACTGATGACAAGATAAAACAAAACCCAAGGGAACAACTGAAACAAGTAGCTGGATAATGAATCCTTCGTGAAACAAGGTTAACCTCAGTTCTCTGAGGTTAGTGGCCTCATTTTCTTGGGACTCGTCATTCACTTCACTACCTCCATCTGGCTGTACACCCTCCTCTTCTCCAGGGAGCACCACAGCAATGCACTGAGGAACTAAGGTCCCTTAGTTTGACAGCTGCCACTGAAGCATCTCCCTAAGATGGGCAACATAATCCTAAACTGCTTTTCCCCACACTACTTGCAGGGTTTTTAAAGGCATTACATGCTAGAAGTGTGCTAAAACCTGGGCATCTGTAGAGTTATTTTCCCATGCCTCAGAGACAGCAAACATCGTCTGCAAAGACACTAAGCTGAATTATCTCATTAAACTCTTCAGGCTTCACCCAAAAATAAAAAAGTTCAGTCCTTTACTTGCAACTCAGCTTTCACGGGACTACATTGGTATTCTCCATTCCTTAGTGTTATAAGAGACATGAACAGAAAATAGGACTTTCTTTTTACTGCTCTCTTTGTACTCTAGGAAAGCAAAGATAAAAAGAAGCAGCTGAGAATAGAAATTCGGCATTACACACAGAAGTTAGTGTGTCAGCAAATCTTTGCATTTACTATAATGAAAAATGTAACTTGTAGATACTTATTTGTGAACACCAGCTTTTTCTATTGTTTTGGTCCTACTGGTGAACAATAGGTAAGTCTCAAACATAGTGGTGGTGTATGTGAGTCGAAATGAAACAAGACTACAGTGCAAAGTTTTATTTAAAAGTCTTTCTTCCAGCAACTTCATGCTGATACAGAAAAAAATCAGTACTTAATTGTGTTTGGGTTTAGATTTCTTCTACAGCATTTTGAAATGTTTTTGGTTTTGTTTTTTTTAAATGTGAAGCATGAACAGCAAAGCTCTCTGGCTCTTAAAACTCAGACTTCTTACGACAGAGTTACCTTTAGATCTTGCTCTATCTGCAGGACTTTTGGCTTTCACACTGGTCTTTTTGAAAGTTTCTTTTGGTGTTTTCTTTTCATTAACTGGAAAAGACTGTTTTGAGAGTGAAGTGGGTTTCCCATACCAAGAACTTCTAACCACCCCATGAGGACCATATGAAGATTTCTTTTTATGTAAAGGTGCTGGACTTCTGATATTCTTGTATAACATTGGTTTAGTTGTCATTGATTCAGATCTTTCATTCTTCAAGGAACAAGACCGAAGAGCCTGTGATAGAGCACATTTGTTTAAAACAAGTTTTAGGCTCTAGTGTAATCTGAAGGTAGCTTTCACTACTACAAGAACATAGAACCAGTTGCCAGAATTACACAGCTGTAAGACTCGGGGCGGTGGGAAGCATTATTTTTATCCAAATTAATAGTATGTAATTTTGCAGAATTTTACTACTACAGAAGTATACGTAGTGCAAGTATTTTGTCCTGGCTCTGTTTAATTGTTCTGGGAAGTTGCATTACATTACAGGGCCTTTAGCTTACCAAAGCAGGTAGCTTGTGACTAAAGTCTAATCACAGTGAACACAGAAACCCAGCGATGAAGAGAGGAACAGTGGCAGGCAGAGGAACCCTACTAAACTTGATCATCAAAAACAGAGCACACAACTCCTAAGACCAGCAAATGAGAAAGCTTAGCCTGTTGGCCCTGGTGGGAAACCCACCAGGGAAAATCAGCCAAACAACCTCTCTCCCTGCAACGCCTTGCAGACAGAAGAGGTGATTGCCTAAAGGAGTGTGGGGCTAATTCAGGGGATGCAAGGAGAAGAGAATTTGGGGATGCAGGGAGAAGATTCGGGATTGTATAAATCTTGTTATGGAACGTTTGAAAGGATTGTGAGAATGTGCAAAACTTACAAGATGTTTAGGGTAAAGGACAAAAACTAGGTGAAGGGAGAGATTAAGGTGGATCAAGTAGGAACAAGTGTGGGAAATAGAGGGAAAATAAGATTAAAGAAGCTAGTGACATGACCAGATTGCTGGTCAGTACACTTGTCTAAGCTCTACATTGATCATTACAGTCTCTCCTATATTCTTATTGAACTGTATTTCTAAATGACCTCTCTGTAGGTATGCTCTCTATTCTAAGCTTGTGTGTGTTTATACATGTCCCCCGAATGGGAACACGTGCTCAGACTCGCTACTAGCTTGAGCTGGGGACATGGAACCGCAGCAGCCTTGCACATATTGGGCTGGGACAGGAAGAACCCCGCTGGTCCCAAAGGCCACTGGATTTGGCTACCTCTAACAATAGCAATGGTAACAGGAGAGTTTCAAGAAAAACAGCAACAGTCTCTCAATTTCTAAACATCAGAGCATAATCAAATAACAGGCAGTCTAAAAATATATACATTTTAAATGTATTTTCATATAATAAAAATCTGGTTGATATTACTTACTTGTTTAGTTTTGCTGCCTTGTGAAAGCAGAGAGTCTTGTACTATTTTTTCTCTCGGTACATCAAGCTGTACTTCACTGGTCTGAATTTCTTTCTCAGTCACCCTCTGAAAGTTATCGTCATTCACAGCTGCCTGCAGAAAGATGCTCTCTTCTCTATTAAATTTTTCAAGTAAGTTTGTCTCCCAAACCGTATTATTCTGGTGCTCTTTAAAGGGTGAGTGGCTGACGAGGTCATTTGCTGTGCTGCCTACCAGTTTCACAGGACTGCAAGAGAAAGGAATAAAGTCATATATAATAAGACTTTTGCCCTTTGCTCTTCTATCATTCTGGAAAAAGTGGGCCATTTTTCCTTTAGGTATCAGCTGTAAAGACTGGTTGAATTTGAAAGACCCAGTAGGCTTCTTTTAAGAACCACCTTGCAGGTTTAGTTATACAGATTCACTCCCACACTGTGGAACAAGAGCCATTTCCCAGCAGTGGCTGTTTTTGTGGAGGTGCCAAACTCGGCTACAAGATGAACACCTGCAAGCATGCAATTAATACTAATAGAACAACGAATGGTAATTTCTGCTGAGTGCAGCTACGCGATAAGCTCCCAAAACTCATTTGCTAAGCATAACCTATTTCTGACAGTTCCAGGGCCTGTGCTTTCTGCTCTAGACACAACAGTTGGAGCAAACCAGAAGGAGGTATGGAGCACAAGTTAGTAAGAACCACGAGAGTAAGCAGGATTTGATCTTAGATTATAGAGGCTGGAGAGCTAGGATAGGATGTGGCCTGAAATCCATGTATGGGGGAGGGGAAAGAGCAGAAGACTGGGAAAGCAGAGATGCTAGCTGTGGTAGCTGTGAGAGTGAGGAACACTCCTCCAAATGATTTGGCAAACATTGCTGCTTATCACTCAAACAAAGTTTGGGAACCCCTGGTCTAAACCAATTAACCCTGTATATTCATTTTATAATTCACTGCAAATGCCATAATGCCAGTGCAAGACATAATGAAATTTCAGTATTTAATAAGGAAAAAAGACAGATGAGTTATTTAGTAAGCTGTTTTTCACAAATAGTTAATGGACTTCAGTTATTACAATTCTTAATATTCTGAAATAAATACCTTTCAGGCTCCACATCAAAACTTCTGATATTACATGAATGTCCTTTAATTGGTTTCATCAATTCTTCCACAGTAGGTAAATCTAATTAGTGCAAAATAAAATTAAAAAAAACAAAACAAAACCTTAGAAAAAATATTTGTAAAAACTACAACATTTAAAAATGTTTCATAAATGGAGTATTAAAGATGATAGTAGTTCACTCATTTTACATGCTTGTACAATACATGCCTTCCTTTGAGGTATTTACCTGATTCAATAGTTGACATGTTTTTTGAATAGATGTCATTATTTTGTGAAACACCTTGCACTAAGTATTCTGAGACTCCCGTTGCAGAATCGTGCAGTTTTTGCTGATCAGTGTCTCCCAAAGACTGATCAATATGATGGTATGCTTGGTGTAACGCTTCCATGTCACTGGTGGTTTGTCCATAGGAACTGCCTGTGAAAAATACAGGCTCATAAGAGACACTACAGGATTTTCTGTTTTGGGAAACATCCCACTGGAGCCTGTATTTCAGTTACTAGCTTGGTCTATTATGTGGTGAGAACAGTGATTTCAGTTATGGAAAAAATATTTAAACCCCCCATTTTTACTATAAAAATAAACAGCTGTCAAGTTAATTAGTACATACTAATTAGTCTCAATCTACAGTTTGCATGCCTCTCCGCCCCCCTCCCCCACCTCAATATTTTATCAGTACTAAAACTAACAGCGTACGTGATGTAACTATTTTAACAGATGCCATCAGAGCCATACTCTGGATATAAGTGGCATACACTGTTTACAAAGTTTGATAAGAGAACGTATTTTATAATTGTGTTCAATACTGTCAAAGAAGAATTTTAGCTATGATGAACAACCAAAGATGATGGTATTTAAAAATCAAACTGCAATGTCAAAAGCAACTTTACAATAACCAAGTGTAAAAAGGTGTCGTCTTAGCAGAAACATGACTTTTTCCTGAAATATTTCCTCCTCCTTTCAAGATTTGTTACTAAAAGTCGAGGGCTTCATGTTCACTGATAACCTAAGAACAAATGAAGACATCAGAGCCACCTATTCTACTAAAGTAAGATTTTGGGGTTTGGGTTTTGTTGTGTGTTTTTTTTTTTCCTTTTTAAAAGCAACCCTTACCTGCTTCATTCATTTCAATTCCACTGACTTCTTCAGGCAGATAATGTTCGCCTAGAGCTACATCTGATGTTTCAACGGCCTTTTGAAGTTCTGTAGTTGAATCTTGTGAATCAAGCAATACAACTAAAACCAGTAAGATAAATGTTAAAGAAAACACAACTTTCTTATTTATACTCTGTCTACACTGGAATTAGAAGTATACCAAGGTTTACCTTGATGTACTAAACATGCAACAAATGCTATATAGATTATTCTAATGCCATTAATGGTGAACTGATTTACTCTGATTGCAAGCATCAAAATCTGAGTACTGACTAGATGTAATAAAATAAAAAATTACATTGATGATCACTTTGAAGTGCTAACACATAGATGAAATTTTAACCATTTCAGTCCAACAGACTTTCAGCAGAACACAATAAAATCAGGTGAAAAATAACAAAATAGTAAAAATCAGGTAAGAAAGTTTCAAAAAGTTACATTTAGTATTCTCCTACTGATCAAAGTTTATATTTTACCTTTAGCTAGCATGCCAGTGTTTGCTTCTTCCTAACAAAAATAAAGAAAAAAAAAATATTACTTTTTGAATTTCAGGGAGAAAAAAAAAAATCTAGACTAACTTTAAAAGTTGGTCCAAAACCTAAGAACAGTACTTAGAACTAAGCAGTTCTTGGTGCTCCAAGAATATGCACTTCTCTAAAACTCTCCTTAGGATGCCAAAAGGTCCTCAACATCCTGTACTCTATAAACCCTCTCACAAGTGACCGGGAACTAAATGCTACTCCGCATAAATGGAATAATATTTTTGCACCTTCCTGGTTCTCTTATATTGTAATTTGAGAAAAGAAAATAATGTAGCAGTTAAGTACATTACACTTCCATTCTATTTGTTCTTTTCAAACATTTATTAGAAATGCTACTTTAATAAACTTAAAAAGAATTAAAAACCCCCCATTTATCTATTATAGATGAACATGTGGGTGCTCTATAGACTCCTTTCGTAAAAAAACCAAATCAGAACGTGTGCTCCAGGAATGCACCCGATGTGCTCCAGCCACATGTGCTCTACATCAAAGGACCTGACTAAGCTCGTCGACAGTAATACCCCCAAGGGTCATACAGTATAGATTTTGGGTCCTCTGTCCAAACTGCTTCTCTGTACAGAACTACGTCCCTCAGTCTGTGTCAGTTGCTGGTGTAGACATCACCTTAATGGCTCCAAGAGAGAGATTAATCACTACCCATTCTGAGGCTGAGGCTCCAACCTGAACTCATCATTTGTGCACTCCCGTCCACAGTTCTTAATTCAAAGGAGGAGTAAGCAGGAAACCCTGTGAAGGACTTAATCCTTTCAGCAATTTATCACAGGAAAGTGTATATCCTTAATAGAACAATATAGTCCCAGGACCACTATACTCTTTTATTTCAGATAGTACATATTATATAAAGGTTTACTATATTTACAGTTATACATTGCAGAGCTTTTACAATTCATGCAAGCAATATAAACATTTGGTAAGTTATACCTGTTCTTGAGGACTGAAATCAACTCCTGACATGATGTTTTGATTCACCTGACTTCCCTCAGTTTTAAAGGCAGGATTAGCATCTGTTTCTTCTTCAAAATCTTCACTGTAGCTGCCTGAAAATTAAAACAAACATCAAACAGAATTAATATTCAAGAAGATAAAGCAGTAAGGGAAAGCTATTTCCTCTTCCCCAATCTCTCGTCTAAGAACAGCTACTGCCACTATTACTCCTTTCACAAAGGCAACAGAAAGGTTTCGAGACTGGGTGTTGTACTAAAACTACAGTAAAGGTCACACATAATATCTCTAAATTCAAATGAAGTTTGTGTTATGATCAGATATACTTTACCTCTGTCTCCTCAAGGTGTACTTGAGTTGACCCCTTTTATTCCATCACTTTCTCTCACTTAGGGGTGAAATGATGCAATTCCCCCCCTAGTAGACAAAGTACTCTGTACATCCACCTTGGCAACTCCAGTAGTTTTTAGGCTCAGAATCTGTAATTCTGCTTCCTCTGACCTGCTTTGGTAGCCCAATAGCCACTCTCAAGAGTAAGCATTATTTAAAAACACAAAGTGTGTCAGAGAATGAATTTTACAAGTAATCTGTCCTGGTTTCGGCAGGGATAGAGTTAATTTTCTTCCTAGTAGCTGGTACAGTGCTGAGGTTTGGATTTAGGGTGAGAACAATGTTGATAACACACCAATGTTTTAGTTGTGGCTAAGTGGTGCTTACACTAGTCAAGGACTTTTCAGCTTCTCATGCCCTGCCAGCGAGAAGCTGGGAGGGGGCACAGCCAGGACAGCTGACCCAA